ATGACTTTTCCTCCCAGCTCGGTTAAAGTGCTATTGCCTGTCCTTGAGCCATCAAAAAACTTATCAGCACAAAATCTGCTATCCCCATTCCAGATCCCTATCCTGTCGCTTTAGTCTGTGTCCTGGCTTGTTGCCAGAGAGTGTTGTCCAAGTGTGCACAGCATATTAAGTAAACCTACTAGTTAACCTTCTGGCTTTCCTGCTTTTTCTAAGTACGACCAGCTGAAGAGAAACTCTCCACCAATCATAGCACTGATGGGTTTAGCCATCCATCAAAACGATCAACTTCAATTGATCCAATCTGTTTCTGGAGCCCTAGTAGACAACCGCTTAAATATGAGCCAGCAGTGTACTGCAGCTGCCAAAAAAGCCAGTGCAATCTTACGCTGCATTAACAGAGGGATAGAATCAAGATCACGTGAAGTGTTAATACCACTTTATAATGCTTTGGTAAGGCCACTCTTGGAATACTGCATCCAGTTTTGGTCGTGATGATGTAAAAAAAAGTTGTTGAGACTCTGGAAAGAGCACAAAAGAGCAACAAAGATGATTGGAGGTTCAAAAAACAGTTGCAGGAATTGTTTATGTCTAGTGAAAAGAAGAACTAGAAATGAAGTGATAATAGTGTTCCAATAGGTTCACGAAATGACCAGATGATTTGGTTAACACCTGCAGCAAAAAGCGTTGTAAAATCGAGTGCAATTCACTTAATGACTTCATTGCTTACCAATAGAAATTTCAGCCCCAGTTTTGGTTGTAAGCCAAGGACTTAGAGCCCAGAATTATAGTCGCTGGGTCATGGCAGTCATTAACCACGTCGCCATGCCTGATCTTATAACCTTTTTTGCAGTGGGTGTTAAGTGACCGCTGTGGTCATCAACAAAATGCCATCGTCGTTAGGAAACCCATTTTCCCCAATGGGCTTTTTTTTTTTTTTGCTAAAAACCTGAAGTATAATACCAGAAACTAGCAAAAAATGCCAAAATTGCAATCAGATGTCTGTGGAATGCTGCAAACAGACATAAATCTTAGGCTTGCGCAAGTTTGCTGCCATGGTTTAATTGCAGAACACAGAATTCCTTTGGCATTGCTGTGATGGGACTTGAGTAGGTACACCATATGTCAGGAGTTCCCTCTCAGTCCGCGATGCACCAGTGCCAAGTAACCTTGAAGCTGTGTTTAAGTGAGGCGGAGAGTTTGTGCCTTTTTCCTGGATAGTCATTTAAGTGAATGACTTGCACTGACAGTCAACCTTCTCCAGACCCAAAACTTCCGGCATACAAAGCAGCGCCTCTCTCCAAAACAGATTGAATTCGCTTCTTTCCTCCCTCCAAAGTAGGTTTAAACAATACCAGTTGAGTTTCAGGCTGCACAAAGTCTATGAACATTGTTAACTCTATAAAGTTTCCATGTTTAAATTAATAATAATTAAAAGTTATAAGTTCACAATATATCCGGAAAAGAATATGGAAATGAAAGAAAGGGAGCATTCAAAGTGCTTTTTGAATAATGCTTTTCTTTTCTCATTTCTTTCTTTCATTATACTATCAGGGAGGGAGGGAGGGAGAATGAGAATAATGTTAATGCTTATAAAATATTTATTACAGTTATTAGTGACCGGTGAGTTTATATTATAATCTGTCAGCCTGTTTGGTGTAGTGGTTAAAGTGTCAGACTAGAAATCAGGAGACCATAATTTCTAGTCTTGCCTTAGTTACAAATCCAGCGGGGTGACTTGGGGCCTGTCACTTCTGTCACCCCTACCAAGAAAGAACTGCCAAGCCACTTCTGAAGAAAGCTGCCAAGGAAAGTGCAGGGGGCAATTGCCAGGAGCCCAAAATGACATGAACTTCCAAGAGTGTATCTGACTGACATAATATTATATATGTTATAGTATATACTGTAGTTTAAGAAAGAAATACATAAATAACATGTGTCTATTGTATGTATTTTTAATTTACTCATATTCTTGTGACGCACAATTTTATGTTTGGTCTGGGAAAAGCTGCACAAAACAATTTTTTCCCACACAAGGCACGTCAGAAATTAGAGGGAACATTGCAGGGAGGTGATCAGTGGGAATCGGAGGTGAAGAGGTGGTTTGTGCAAAAATTTGGCAGTAGACCAGGAGTAAGTTCAGAGTGGGGCAGTTGGGGGGGAGGGGGAAGGGGTGTACACACACAGAGAGAAATATACACAAAGATAAATATTGAAAAGAGTCAAATTTGTAGTAATATATTTTTTATGTAATTAGTCATATTTACTGTGGATCCTATCTGATTTTAATGGGTTTTTTGTATACATTTTTTATTTTTAATACAATACACACATACTTTGTGGACAGTGTATTGACTGGGTCAAATCTTTTTAAAATAAGGCTAACTGTAGTAATACAAATAAGTATACCTAACCTAATCCTGATCTTCCAACTTCAACAGTACCATTCTCTCTTTATAATTCTTTATCATTTTTTCCATTAATTCATTTAAACATAAATAACACTTCTTTGTGCCATGTATTTGTTATCCCCTACTAAATTACTAATATTTAATATTTTTAAAATTACTCATTATTCCACCATAATTTCAATATCCCAAATGTCTAGGACTACTAATAAAGCTAAATATTAACAAAATTTAATCAATCCTGGGAATATATCTCAAAATCCCCACAATTTCTAATTCTTAAAAGTTTAAGTTCACAATATACTTTTAACACTATTAATATTAATAATACAATTAGATTACCTAATCCTAAACTTCCACCTACTAAGTTTAGTTTATTTTTAATTGTATTAGATTCTATTATCTGTTAATATATATGCTACTGTTTTCCCTATTTGTATTTTCTATTTTTCTTTTTATTAATATATTTTATCATTATCCATCATCTCTTAACCTTTTTGGAGTTCCATCATTTATTGTCTTTTTAATCACCCTTTTATTTCTCTCTCTCTTGGAGTCTTATAACTCTTTTTGATATTTTTATACCTACTGAGCATTCCCTTTGGGTTGCCCTTTGTCTCTTTCTGCTGTATTATTTGAACACCCATCAGTGAAATTTTCTTCTTTTTAAAGAGATTTTTCTCTTTTTTTTCTTTAAACCTTTCTTTTTTTGAAGAGTTTTTTTTCCTGTGCTATTGTAAGTTTTTAAGGAATTATCTGATTGATTCCTACTTATTAATCCTTTCTCTTCATTATCTTTATCTTCTTGCATCTCATTTTGTTTTTTTCTTCCACTTCTTCTAATTTCTCATCTATTTCCTAAATATCATGTTCGTCTTCCCCCCACATTGTTGAGTAGCTTCTACACTCATTTCTTTATCTTTAGACAATCCCCTTGTCTCCTTATTGTTCTTTATAGTTTCATGCATGTTTTTGAGCATTAAAATTATTTCATTTGCCTCTATTATCCCTGTAGATCCATTTTGTAACAATTTAATAAAAATTACTCAGTATACCTCTAGTTCCAACGTCTCAATATTTAAAAACTCAATATAATTCAATCAATCCCACAGTTATGTCTCCAAATCCCATAAATTTATAATCTTTTTAAAAAAATAGTAATTTACAGCCTTGTGATTTTCCAATTACATATCTTCCCAATTGTCCAAATTTTAAAGTCTTATTTAACTTTTCTTCTTTTCTCTTTTCTTCTATCGCCTTTCTTCTTTTGCCTTGTAGAATGCTCTGTCAAACACTGATCACTCTGTCAATAATCCAAATCGACTAGGTTCCTCCAATCTTTAAAATCCATAATCCAATAGCCAGTTTCAATAAAGTTTAGTTATTTGCAATTTAGTTCATCTTAGAAATCTTCAAGAGGAAAAAGAAACTCATTAGGTGCTCCGTCCATGGATCGCTCCAGCACAAAACCTGTGGTCCTGGTTGTCCGAGCTTGTGACTGCCAAAAATGGCCATTGTCCTTGCTGCCGTTTAGGAGAGGACCTAACGAGGAAATTGCAAATTCCTTGTGGTCCACGAAGCACTTCTCCTTTCTTTGCCACCCCTACAAGGCAGCTTTGACCCTGTAGGGCCTCCCAACAGTGGTTACTGGCTGGATTTTGCAAGGCTTGGCAGAGCCTGCTAATTTCCATGTCATTCTCACTGCAACGTCAACCGGAAGTCCCAATGTTCAGTAGGTGTGAACTAATTCTGCCTGGGCCATTGACTGAGAAGTATGTCTAGTTTTATGCACATTGAAATATATGTCAATATTATGGGATGCAGCAGAAAAAAGATGCTGCTAACACATATTTAGAGCCCAGGTGGCGCAGTGGTTAGAGTGCAGTTACTTCAGCTGACTGTTAGTTCAGCAGATCAGCGGATCAAATCTCACCGGCTCAAGGTTGACTCAGCCTTCCATCCTTCTGAGGTGGGTAAAATGAGGACCCAGATTGTTGGGGGCAATATGCTATTTAGTATACTGTCTGGTGTAAGCCACCCAGAGTCCTCGGAGAGTGGGCGGCATAGAAATATGAATAATAAATAAAATAATAAATATTTGTGCTGTGATTAGGTCCAAGTGCAGAAAGTCTATAGTCATATATGTCAGCATAAACTGTAATAGCAATAAGCATTTAGAGTTATATACCACTTCCCAGGGCTTTACAGCCCTCTCTAAGCAGAGTAGTGTATTGCCCCCAACAATCTGGGTCCTCATTTTACCAACCTCAGAAGAATGGAAGGCTGAGTCAACCATGAGCCCGTGAGAATTGAACTGCTGGCAATCAGTAGAATTAGCCTGCTATACTGCTTTCAAACCACTGTTCCACCATGGCTCTATGTTCCTGAGCTCTTTGGCAAAAAGGCAACAATAGATTTAACTGTTATATTCATTAATAGCAAACTCTCATGAGTTGGTTTTGCTCATATTGCCAAAATGAAACCATTCAAACATATGAAGGAGGTACCAGTTGACTAAGGGGAAACTTTAAGGTGGAAAGCTAAGGCCAGGGGGAATCAAACACTAGATGCAGGATTTTTACTACAACCTTCATAATATTTTTCTTACTTGTATTTAAGCGCAGCACAAACATGTCTGGAAACATTATTTTTCTTCAGTATGTCCATGACATTGCCTCCATCTCTTCCTCAACTGATGAATGAGACAGCTCCATCGTTAGCTGTACCAGTATTAAAGTAGTATATTTCCACTTATTCCAACGTTGTCCAAGGACAGCTTCAAGGTGTGCTATTAGACCTTGGCATCCATTACCTTAGAAGAAAATAGGTAACTGCAATGACTTTAAAGAGAGACAGGGTAAGAACTGGCAATAGGGACAGTACATTTGCCACTGGTGCAGTTTTCTGCCAACTCAAGAATGGAGAATTATTTAAGCTCAGTAATGGGGAAATGTGCATAGTTATTCTGACTGAGCTGTAAAATCTTTCATTATACCTGATTGACTTTAGCTGAGAATGTTGTGCGAATCCAGCAGTTCTGATTTATTCATAAACTAGGATTAGTTTCCTCATATTTTAGAAATGGGGTGGGATTGTTCCCATTTATACCTGGAAATGTTAGGAATTGAATTTAGGAACTTTTTGTATGCAATACAATTTCTCTTACTCATTGAACTATAGGTAGTTCTCACTTAACAACTGTTCAGACTTTGTGATAGTGTTGAACAAGAAGGCTTACTCCTGCTCATCATACTTGCGGCTATTGCAACATCCACATGGTCATATGATCACAATTTGTATACTCGGCAACTAGTTCACAGTGTAGTCATTTGTGACTTTTGCTGCTGGCTTCTAACAAGCAAAGACAATAGGAAAACCAGCAGGGGTTTGAAAAAGGTGATCACATTTATTTTATTTTTTTATTTTATTTTATTTTATTTGTATACCGCCCTACTCCCGAAGGACTCAGGGCGGTGAACAGCCATAGAATAAAACATATAAATACAAAATTTAAAATAGAGTAAAACGAATTAAATAATTTGGCTGAAAATTTAAAACCCCAGTAATTTAAAACCAAATTTAAAATTTCCATTTAAAAAGGGGAAAAACTTAGGTCAGGCCAGCTTGATGAAATAAGAACGTCTTGAGCGCGCAACGGAAGGTACGCAGTTCTGGAATCCTCCGTATCTCCGGGGGGAGCTCGTTCCAGATAATAGGTGCCCCCACAGAGAAGGCTCTCCCCCTGGGGGCCGCCAGTCGACATTGTTTGGCCAACGGCACCCGGAGGAGCCCCTCTCTATGGGAGCGTACTGGTCGGTGGGAGGCTATTGGTGGTAGCAGGCAGTCCCGTAAGTAACATGAGTGCAGGATGCTGCAGCCATGCAGTATTTGCTTAGTAACAGCAACTGAGACTGCCATCATAAGTTGGTGTGATCTTGTGACATCACACCTTATGACCACATCGCTTAGCAATGGAGTTCTCAGTTCCAATTACTGTTTGTAAGAGAGGACTACCTGTATAGCTCTTAGAACTAAAAATACTGAAGATTGACTGTCCTGCATGTATACGCATCTTGATTTTCCTGAAAGAAATGTCTTTCTGGGCCTTGCTACTGAGTTAAAGTGCTATCTAATCAGCCTTGAGTAGGCAAAAACACTTTTTAAAAAATAGATCAATAATAAACATTATAAAGTATAGCAATTTTTCTGCATCTATTTCTTGCTTAATTGTGATGGAATTTTTAAAACCTGCTGACCGGCAGATTATTTATAAGGCTTTCATAAAGCTGCTCCAGCTGCTTCGAATTTTCTCCTTCAAGTCTAATTAGGTGGGATACTAAAGATTTTTAAAAGTTCACTAGTTATTATGCAGTATTATATATCATTAATATTATACTTAAACTGAGTTGACATATCATATTATCAGTATATCATTCATTATGATATTAGGGAAGTATGACCAGGAATACACAACACGATTACACAAACAACTGAGAGAACCCTGAGGATCACAATCAAGACAGCCGCCTAGTTTTAAATGTGGTGCAGAGGTTACCTCACCTATCCCTTCTGTCCATAAAATCTAGCCATCTCTACAAAAACTCAGCTTAGTCCAAAACAGTGACCCAAGCCATTACATTTTCATTTATGTGTAAGGAATCATTCAAGCTGGGCTTCAGTTACCACTAAGACTGATTGGTGTAACATAATTGGAGTATAGGTTGTCCTTGATCACCATTGAGTCCAACAGTTCCATTGCTAAGCAAAACAGTTATGTTAGTTTTGCCCCATTATACAATCTTGCTTGCCACCATTGTTAAGTGAATCACTGGTTTTAAGTTAGTAACATGGTTAAGTGAATCTTCTGCTTGTCAGAAGGTCACAAAAGTTGATCACCATGACCCTGGGACACTGCAATCATCGTAAATATGAACCAGTTGCATCTGAATTTTGATCACATGACTATGGGGAATGCTGCAACAGTTGTAAGTATGAAAAATGGTCATAAATCACATTTTCAGTGCTGTGGTAGCTTTGAAAGGTCATTAAACAAATAGTTGTAAGTTGAGGACTACCTGTACTCAAACTTGCCAATCAGGACAGAATTAATAGGGGCAGAATCTAAACTCATATACCTTTATGGGTAAAATATTTCCCAGGATAGACATCCAAAGTTCTTCTCTAATTTAGGCTTTGGAGAATTGGCTTGCTAGAATGCCAGTTATATATAATATGGATTAATTAATTCTCAATAGGTTTCAACTTTGTTGTACACTTTAGTCCTTTAAGAACATCTATATGAAAATGTGAAGTTCAGTAGGATTAACCTTGTTTTATTGTAATGAGATGAGATTTCAAGGTATCTGAGGAATGTCTGTCATGCAGATATTTTTTTAAAGGGTTTGTTTTAAAATGTTAAGTTTATTTTGTGGCGGGGGTGGGGGGGTGTTGGCAAGTTAGTATGTTTTTAAATAGAATGCTAAATGTACCTCAGCTAAATTAAAGCAAAGCTTTACATATAACTACACATCTGTAGTTATAATGGATTCTATTTGTAAACCATTTAAATTTAAATTTCTAAGTTAAGCACAGTCTTTTTTCCCTCTATAGATAAATATTTTTTTACATTCTTAACTAGTTTCTAAAAATCAAAGCAGCTGTAATTTAGAATTGCCATTTCAAGCTACACTGGCCTCACAATCCCCTAGTGATATTGTCAACACATTCTGAAAGGCCTTCTGATCTTTGCAAACCAATGTTAGAATTTCTGATTACCAGCTTCATCCTCACCCCCAACCCTCACAAGGGGAAAAAATCCAAAATCCTTACTAGGAAAATAAGTTTATGAATACTCTCTTGTATAATCTGAACTTTAGTCTCTGAAATCCACACATTCCTTCTGGTATTAGATTCCTTTTCACTGTTATTATCTTTTATTTAAGCTAGCACACTATCTAAACTTACTTTCGATTGTGTTTACAGATTTTTCTTTCTGTTTTCCAGCTATGAAAATAAAAATTCAAAGTTAGAATCAGAGTTTTTATTTTCAAACTGTTAATATATGTATATTTAAAATATCTATTGTTTACATGGCACATAAATTCTATAAACACTGGCATGTTATCAATAATATTTTATACAAATATCTATGTTGCAAAGCTCTGTTGCAAAGCAATAAAGTAGGGTTTGACTTTAGTCAGAGTTTTTAGGATTCCTGTGATGTTATCTGACTGAAGAAGAGAATATACCATACTATTCGGTTGGTTGGTTTCCCATCTTTGTTCTTTTTATAATTAACTCAAGGCAGAGAATATACATAATACTCCTTCTTCCTCCTATTTTTCACACAACAACAACCCTATGAGGTGGATTCGGCTGAGAGAGTGACTGGCCCAATTGTGTTTATACTGTTAACTCAACTTGCCATGATCCATACTTTATAACAAAGTTAAAATATTCTAGCATGTAAAGAGTGAATTGTGATGAAATATTCTAAACTTGTACACTAAATCTGTTCACAATTATTAACTCTTCAAGATAAAACATACCAGTCCTTTATAAGACCAGAGGTGCTTTAAGCGTGAATTATGACAGGTTAAAGATAATCCTGGTTTCCAACCTATAATAACAACTGCTTAGATCTCTTGTTTATCTTTTGAGCATTAATGTAAAATGTTGCCTTTAACATTAGGCTTAAGAATGAATGCAAACGCAAATCTAATTTTGATCTCAGGTGAAGGAAGGAAGGAAGGCAGGGGTAAAATCTTCATGATAAAAGATACAGCAAAGAGACTCCTTCAGTTTCCATCTTTCGAATTTCAAAAGTGACCACAAATGCACCACAAGGGGAGCCAGAAAAGTCTGACATTTCACTCAGAGCAAAACTCCTTCCGGCATATTCACAGCAGAGGGATTCAGCGTTCCAATCTTTTTCAGTCTGGGAACTGGCGCCTCTCAAAGAGAGGAGGAGGCTTCTGGCATTTCCCTTCTCCCACAAGTTTTTCCACAGAAGGTGGCAATCTGTCTCTTTCATTTGAAATTGCTCGTAACCAACAGAAATGTAAAAGCACAAGGATGATTTGAGAATACACGTAGAATCTGAGTCAAAAATAGTCCTCTAAAAAAAGGCCTGTTGTACAGGATTTACCCACATTTTTCACTATCTCTTGCACTATTCCTAAACTGTTTGACAGCCACTTAACAAATGCAGAGATATTTAGAAACATGAACTGTTTGTATGGCGTAAGTACAAATCAGAAAGGCTTCACCTATGAAGTTTTTTCTTCTATGAATAGTAATTGTGATGATCCATCAGGAAAAATAAAATAAAATCAATCCGAAAGTCATCATGCAGTAATATTTTTATTAGGATCAATCAAATGACAAAGAAAAAATAATGGAATTCCTAAGAAGCCTTCATCAGACAAGGTGCTACACAAAATGGTGAATCAGGAAGAAGTTCTCCAAATTGTTTTCTAATTATGGAATGTTTTTAGTATTGTTTATTTTAGGGTTTGTTTTTTATTGCATGCTGCTGAGAGTCACCTTTTGTGATATGTGGGGCTCTATGAATATGATCACATTTAAAAAATAATAATACATTAAGCAAAAATGTGCCTAATGAAACTCACAAATTCGGTTTCTGCATATTAAGTCCAATTATTTGTAGTAACTCCAACACCCCATTCCTCATCCTTGCCTACCCGTGTTGGTTTGGGCATTAAGACAAACAGTGAAAAATGAAGTTGTTGCCTGTCTTAATCCAGATATAAGGATACCAGGGGCACTTTGAGGCAATTCTGATTATCAGAGTTATCAGCTGCAGGGAGTGGAGAAATGTCAAGGATCTGAAAGAGAGGGAGAGTTCCTACCAAAGGGAAACAGAATTGCCTCAAAGTTCAAGAATCTGCAGTGACTCAAATCATACTACATATGTTTATGTAGAGTAAAACTGCCTTTTTCCTCATTTCCAAACCTCTGTATCCAAAAACAGAAACAGGACATGAGGCTTAGCACAAAGGCCCAACTGCCTTTTTTTTTTTTTTTTTTTTGCAGCTCTTGGAATCTTCTCCCTTTATGATTGCTTTAGACTTTTACTCCTAGTTATAATCTAAAAGAAAACTAGTACAAATGTTTCACAGATGGTATATAGCTCTATCAATGATTTTCAAGATAGACAAATGTTACAATAACAAACATTGGTAATGAAACAGAAGGAACGTTTTATACAGTGGTAGACATGTAAAAAAAAAACCTCAAAAGGATTGGAAAGATGTACATAGCACTATCCAGGTAATTTTGAAATCCCATCTTTAGTAAATACAATCCCAGAATTAGCAAGTAATTCATAATTTACTGAGGTATTTGCTCATAGCAGTGAGGATAAATTTTCCCCAACATTAGAAGAAAAATACAGTACCAATGATATTGGATTGGGAACTCAGATACCCAGAATAGCTTTGGAAATTGAGGGGGGGCATATAAATTTAATAAATAAAATAAACGGGGAGAATATGTAACAATGGCAAAACTAACAACATATGTCCACAACAGAAGTTTAACTAAATTCAAATAAGAATGGTTGAATGCATACTACGTCATGGAGAAGGAAAATACCTAGGCTGGTTTTTAAGAGGGTCTATATATATATTTATAAACACTGAAAAACAGTCAGAACATAAAGAAGAAGGTAATTAGAAATTTACTACTACCTGTGTCTGTTTTTTCCAAGCAACTCTGTTTTCCCTCTCTTTTATCATTTATGAATAATAAATATTATAGTCTATACTTCAGTATTGAGCTTCAAGATCCAAACCTTTATATTATAAAATAATCCATTTTGCAACTGTTTATCAATACCATACTCGGCATTAATTGTACAATTTAAGCAACCTTGTGTTCATGACATTTTAGAAATCATATCGTTTTTCCTTATCTTGAAAGATTTAGTTAATCTAAATTATCACAGTGTTAACAATTACTAGTCTCTATTCTACAAATACCACTGTACTTAGTGATGACTCTGAATTCTATAATATATTATTCACATTTTGTAATTCCATAAAACTATTAGCTTGGGGGGGAGGGAAGTGGGGAAACTTAAACGACCTAGTTCTTCCCTTGTTCATTTGATTTAGGTCCATTCCTCCTAACCTTACGCTGAAGGATGATCAACCAAAGCTTGAGCCATCAGAAAACTATACCTGCATGACATTTGCCGTCCTCTCTGCCAATCCTTACTGCATGCTGCCTCTTTTGTCTTTATTCAGTCATTGCAGTCAGCTGATTTCCCTTCAAAGTAAATGAGTGGAAAGTGTAATAGATTTTAGGACATCTTCATGTTGCCCTTGGATGGTGTCTGAATTAGGGGACTGACTCAATCCTTTCTCACTCATGGCAATATTAGAGAAGTGGTAGGAAAAAAGATGTTGCCAGGCCATGCTTGCACTATGGTTAGTCGGAAGTATGAAAAGAGCATAAAATAGTTGGGTGACGTACAAATATATGTATAATGTTCTCAGTTCCATTTGTGACTTACAGTACAGCAGATAAAGCAAGCAATAAATAAAGAACCCAAAATAAAAAGGGACAAAACTGATTATACAAATGTCAAACCAGACTTCACAGTTTCGTTAGTTCTATCATGTTGAACTGAAATCAGCAAAAATCTTGAATTTTATAAAATGTGATGAAATATATATTTAAACTGAAGACTCAGAAATGTGCTTCCTTTTCATATCACCAGATGTAGTTGAGAATCTGCCTGCAAGAAAAGAAAACAGTGGGTATGTTTTTCCTCCAGAAATCTCAAAACAAAAACCTGAAAGAAAAAGGTGTATCCAACAGCATAGCATTAGTATCCCTCTTGTGTATCTTGGCCCAAATACTTATAACAAAACCCTAATATTAATGTTATCCTGTAAAACACCCTAAGCAATGCTGGAGCAATATAATTATTTATTTATGTATAAGGGTTCTTAATTGCTTTAAATTATTGGAGGTTGTCTGTATAAAAGATTGAAGATTTATAAAATGTATAAAGAAACTGGGTGGAAATATTAGCTACTCCAAACCAAGGATGATGATGATGCATATAAACAAAACAACCAAATTAAAAGACTACAACTCTTGTTAGCAACTTGTTTTTCTTAACCAAAGACAGAAGTTGCTCAATATAGCTCCCAGGCACCACAACACTCAGAATGCAAGACTTAAAGCTTGTTTCTCACATTTTCAAACAGCATTTTCTGAAATATAAAAATTTTGAAATATGTATTGTTTAACAAAAACATCACTATACAAGATTCTGCTCCACATTGTTTATAACTTACCAAGAATCCTAGGCAGTAGGATATTGTGGAGTAATTCAGCTCAGGTTCCCAGTCAGATCATTGTAAGAGAAATATCTTAATAGAGATAGCCTTTCACTGAAGCACATATTGTTTATTACAGTACCAAAGGCAGCAGAGGCTAACCTAAAGAGGGGTGGAGCTGCAACCTTATTATGTAGACATATCCTAATTACGGTATACATACAATCAGTACGGTAGATTAATTTACTGGATATAGCAACACAGTTTGATTTGATATGCACATTGATGAGGTAAAGATAGTGAGGTAATGAAGATGACACACAGACAATAGCTCATTGAGTTAGACAAAGACTGTGTTCTCTGAATAAAGTCACGACTGATGTGTTGCACTTTCTTCTAGGTATTATTTCCCAATGACCTTGCTTCCCAGTGTTGTTCTATCTCTTAGTGGCCTAATCACATTCTTTGAGTCTAAATGCTCTATAGCTGAGCTGGCAGTTTGTTTTTCCCATGGTACATACATTTGGGGAGAGGATACTTTACTTGCCTTAACTAGCACTATTTCTTTCCATAGTCCTCAACCTGTGACACGATTGAGCCCAAAATGTCTTTTGCTAAACAAGATAGTTGTTTAACTGAATTTTGCCCCATTTTACAACCTTACTTGTCACAGTTGTTAAG